ACTATTTCATCTCCACCCACCCCCATTAAACTCCAATGAATCCCTATTAAATACAAAATCCTATGTTTGATGTTCAAAGACTTCATTAACCTAACCAACCAGTCACAAGCACACACGTACCTTTTCAGTCTTCTTACACATGGCTCCCCTAGCCACACTGGCCTTGTTGCTGTTCCAAATACAAGATACTCCATCTCTCAGCTCTGGGGATTTTCTCTGGCTGTCTCTCATGCCTGGAATGCTCTCCTCATCTCTGTCTCCTGACTTCTTTTATTTCCCAACTAAAATCCCATCCTCCTATAGGAAATCATTCCCAATCCCTCTTAATTCTAGTGCCTTCTCTCTCTTAATTATTTTCTACTTATCCTGTATATGGCTTGTGTGCACATACTTGTTTGCTTATTGTCTGACCCTGCCACATTGTATTGTGAGCTCCTTAAGGGCAGGGACTGTCTTTTGCCTCTTTTTTTGTATCCCCAGCTGTTAACACAGTTCCTGGCATTATAAACCCTTAATGAATAGTTATTGACTGACAAAATTATCACAAAGATCTTATTATCTACCCCTTCAAACATCTAAGTGAAAGTTTGTGCATAGATTAATGCCAAGAAACATCTAGCCTCACCTCTAGGAGACAGTACCCTGTTAGTGCGGTTACCCCCTCCTAGGCCATCTGTCAGTCTCATCACTTTGCCTGGTTTAAGGACCTTCCATTTTCCCAGGCATTTTCTTGACTATCCAATGTAAATTTCCCAGTATTGTTCTTAGGAACATGACACATGTCTAGAGAAAATGCAAACTTTGGGCTTACAGTATCTGTCTATTATAGGATATATTAGCCAGCTAGGTGGCGCAGTAGGTAGAGTTTCAGGCCTGGAGTTGGGATTACTCATTTTCATGAGTTCAGATCTGATCTCAGACACTTACTAGCTGTGTGACCTTGGACAGATCACTTAACCCTGTTTGTCTTGGTTACTCATCTGTAAGATGAGCTGGAGAAGGAAAAGGCAAAGCACTGGAGTATTTTTGCCAAGAAAACCCCAACAATCATGAGTTGGACATGACTCAATAATGACTGAACATAGGATATATGACCTCAGCCTTACTCATAGACAAAGTAGAATTCCTAGATTTAATTATCACATTCAGAAATGCCTCCTTTAATTAGATTGGCAACTCCTCATCCTCAGAGGGTGGACTAGAATGAAATTCCCACCAATAACTCCTTACTGTCAATTCATTCAGACATCTCCATGGTCAGAATTCTCAGGTAGGGCTAGAAAAACTTCCTGAGTTGTCTCACCTGCCTTAACATCAGTGGCCTTCATTGTACCCTCTTCCAATCCTTCTACTTTTCAGTCCAACAAGCCTTAAAATAGACTCCTTCTGAAGGTCCAAGTCTACTCCTAATATTAGGAAACATCTATGCTTTTCAACTATAAAACTAAGACAGTGCTTCTCAATCGCTTTGGCTCTCATTGTTTCTAAAGATTACTCCATGTGTGTCCATATTAATATACAAATATTAATACAATCAACAAATGTATTGCAACAATGGTCTATTGGATTAATCTACTGTGCATAAACAATACAATAGTAAAAACAAGACATGAATTAAAATTGTGAAAACTGTGCCAATGACTTTCATGTATCAACATAAAGCAATTAATTGTGCTTACAGTAGCATTCAGGCTTTTAAGAGATACACAAAATCAACAAATTCAAGAAATGTATAACAATATTTTCATGTTAACATCCTGTTAGGATGAAACTAAGCCAGTTTAGATAAACTTGTTACACTTCCAAAACAAGCCAATAAGATCAAAATTAAAATTACATTAAAAAATAATTCCAGGATGCCACAAAGAAGAAATAAAATTATGTATGAATCTAAAAAAAATCTGCTTCCTATGAAGAGAAAAGAAAAAATTGCTAACAAAATGATTTTTTTCCAATATGGAAAGTCAAAATGTTCTTCTGAGACAAAAAAAAAATGACCACAGAAGATTTTGCCAAAATCTAAGTCAAAAAAATTTTCCCATCACCCAAATTGCTTGCCTGAAAGGCTATGTAAAAAAAATATGATTCATTGAGTCAAAGGAGATTCCCTCAGGATCAACCAGCAAAAAAAATCATTTGGGGATAATTTTTTCTGGGAAGTCACTCTCAAAAAATAAAACATCAGCTAATATGGAAATTTAAAATGTAAATAAACCAGGTGGTTTGTAGAAAATAATTTCTATTTAAACTCATTCCAAGCCAGCAAAAGTATAAACAAACCTAAAAATATGGGCCTCATAAAATTGAATGCTGGAGCTTTTAGTGGCCAGAAGTGATTTGAGTGAAAAAGCTCTACTTAGTACTCCATTCAGAAAACAATGGGCTGCTCTTGAGGAAAAATACTGGAGAACTACAGGATAGTAAAAGAACAATTTCCACAACTTTTAGGGGGGGGGGAAACTAGTAAAAAAAAACCCACTTTTTGTTTTTGCAAAAAAAAAAAAATAACCAGGAGTTTTAGTGATATTCTTGCAAACAGAGTCTCACATGCAGGGCATGTTTGAGTGTGCTGTGTTTTTGGACCAAGGTCATGTGTGTCCAAATGGGTCTGTGTAGATGAGTGTCACAGGGAGGCAAGAATAAGTATGTCTAGAGTCTCCTTTCCTTCCCCTTCTCCAAGAGAAACTTTGATTCTTGAGAGAAGGCAAAACTGGAAGTAGGGGCCAGAGGAAGACGACTTCTTTTTTTCAGAGAGAGAAGGAATACTGGACTGGGATTATAGATATAGAATTTTATAGAAACATTTATGTTGTTGTTGTTCAGTCATTTCAGTCATGTCCTACTTTTTGTGACCCCATTTAAGGTTTTCTTGGCAAAGATACTGGAGTGGTTTGCCATTTCCTTCTCCAGCTCATTTTGTAGATCAGGAACTGAGGCAGAGTTAAGTGACTTGCCCAGGATCACACAGCCAGTAAGTGTCTGAGGCCAGATTTGAACTCAGAAAGATGAGTCATTCTGACTTTAGGCTCAGCACTCCATCCAATGCACCACCTAGCTTCCCAGAAATATTTATAGAAATATATAAATGTATAGAAATATATATATATATATAGCACATACATACTTCACTTTCATTCATATATGTGTATATATGTATATTCTAGCCCCAGATATAGATATAGATATAGACATAGATATATGCTCCCTTAAATATTATGACTCTAGGGCAAATAATTTTTAGGTTCAAACTGTAGTCCTGATCACTATCACTTGGGGAAGGAATGCCACAAATTGTATTATCCAAGACTTGACCCTTCTCGTGAGATGTCAGTTTTACACTGAACATACATAGCAAACAGTAAATAAGCCAACTTATCCAAATAGATTGCAAACAGAAATTAGGAAAAATATATGTATAAGAATACATTCTAGAAAATACACAGTAAATGAGTTTTCCCATTGGGAGCAAGATAACAGCTCAACCAAGAGGGAGAGTCTCAGATCTCATCCAAGCAATCACTAGTATATAAGCTGGGAACAGGGAAATGACTGAATTTGCCAGCTACTCTGCATCTTGACTTCAACCCAGAGTCTTTCTCTCCCTTCAAGTATCTGAGGAAAGTCTGGAATCATGTGTCTTCTCTCTCAAAGCTAGAAGCAAGAAGATTAGGTCATCTCTTCTCTTTAGCTCTCACCAACTCCACCCCTCACCAGGCATGGAGCATTGAGTAATCAATTTCCACCAAAGAGGAGAATCAAATGCAAATGACTCCTTGAACCAGGGGTTCAAATGTAATGGGTTACTATCATGCAATAAGAAATGACACAGTTGAAATGCTGACTACTTTAGGCAGTGGTTCAAACCATTGTCCTATCTTAGTTCAGTGTATTCCTAGGTAGTCACCAGCCTCTTTCACTGCATTCCCCCTTACACACAATTCATTAAGAGACATGAAGCACAGATTTTTTATGATTGGACATTATTTAGAGAAGACAAAATTCAGGCAATAGAAACAGTTTAAAGAAATAGAGTACCAGTGGCAAGAGTCATGTGGGAGCAGAGTTAAGGTTTCTGGTTTTTGTGTTGATCTTCAATGAGTGGTCACGTTTAGCATCTATCAGAATGTTACAGTTTCTCTATATCTCCCAATAGTTTTTATTATTTTCTCCTTAGTGGAGCATTCATTGTAGGAGTCAAGCCTACAGTACATAAAATCTAGTCTGCTCTCTTTGATCACCATCATTGCTACCCTTCTCCTCATTGGTAGTAGGAAACACTGTACAAGAGTCCAATTCCCAGAGTTCAGTTAGGCTTCAGAATTTTTTCCTTTCTGGCAAGAAAAATCCATGTGAATACCTAGTTACAGTTCTATGTGGCAATGTCCATGTTTATTGACATTTGGCAAGTTCATAATAAAAAAATTAATTTAGTTGAACTATATTTAACTAACTATCCTTTTAATAACACATTTTAGAATTTTACTAGGAATCAAAACCAAACTCACTGGTTTATAATGTTATAGACTCCATTCTCTTTCTTTTTTTAAAAATTGGGACATTTAGTGGTATATGCTCTGTTTTATCATTAGTTTTTATGATTTGATATAGTTATTATGCTATTCAAATGATAATCAAGTCATACTTATATTCTTTTGTGGCCACTGAATTCCTTACTCTCTTTTCTTTGAAGAAAAGTAATAATAATTAAATTATTATAGCTGCATATATAAGTAGAATAGCTAATACTGCTTCTTAGTAGGTATTATCTAAGTTTACCTATTTGATGCTATGCCATTGAAACTGCCTTTCACATTCAGATAATCATTATAGTCAATAATTTGATCACTTCTAGTTTGAAAAAAATCTCTGTTTTTTAGGTTAACTTCTTTATTCATGTTATATGCAAATAGTAAAATTTCTCATCATAGATACATATATATCATAAGAGTGTACAATAAATACAATTTTCTGAATTTCCTGACTTGATTTTTCCTATTTAGTACCTACATGAAAATGGAATTGTCCATCGTGATCTTAAACCTGAAAATCTTCTCTATGCAACTCCAGAACCAGATGCACCCCTCAAAATAGGTAAGAAACAACCCTAATGACTTACCCACTCCTCTTTTTATAGGGAGATAAATGTTTTTAGTAGGATGTAAAATACTTCTTCTCCCCAATAGTTGCGGGATTATTTTGAATCTTGAAAGGAATGGAAAATGTATTGTCTGAAGAGATTGTGCCCTGTATTGTGGTATTAAATATAGAAAGTGATTGCTGTAGTACAGACTTGATTTTAAGCAAACAAGAATTTAAGTCCAAGGTTACTCAGCCTGATCCAAAAGGAGTGAATTGTCCATCTCCTGATATTAGTAGTTTTCCAAACAGTACTCTGTTTTTTTAAAAAAAAAAAAAAAGCTGGACAACGTAAAGGTGTTTGGAATAACTCTTCCATGAATCTTGAAGCAAATTCTTATTAGTTGTTAGTCATGGACTGAACATGTCTTGGTTTTGTTTTTTCTCTTACTGTAGAAGGGATTATTTTTAATACAATTATCATTTGCTGCCCTCCAAATAGATGTGGTCCTACGATAAAAGGGAGAAAGCAGAAACATGGAGAACAAAAAGTCAGAATGATTGAACTTCTTTTAAATTAAGCTCTGGCTAACCAAGAGTGGACTATATATCGTGAAAATGTTAATACATTCCCTAAATACCACTTCATTTTGTAATGTGCATGTGGTACCTTCTGTGTACTTAATCTGTGTATTTATCTCTGGTCACTGAAAATGAGCTCATACATATGGTAAGGTCTATTTGATGAATGTAGTCACTAAAAAGAAATTCTTTTGAAAATGGTGAAAGTCATCTAGAATTTGCTGTGGACAGCCATTAGAAAAACCACACAAAAGGCAGTGGACTTGAGGAAAGATCTCATTTTCCTTGACCTCTCTTTTGGAAATGTTATCCTAAAGGAAGTTTATCTGATGATGGATTAATAGATAGTAATTTATGCAATAGAACTTTACATTTTGAAATACTTCCAACTCACAGTTACCTTTAATGGGAACATAGTTAAAATGTTAAAGTTAAAGTTAAAATGCCAAGAACTTCACTCCAGGTTTTAGAAATAAAAGATTTCAAGCAAAGTGCTTAATGTGTTTCCTGAGTCAGATGATTCTAGCCTGCCAAATGGCTCAAAATAATAGCAACTTTAATGAATGAAATTCATTAAATCGAATGAAATTTTTGACTGAAGAAGCTTTTTTCAAGTTTGAAAAACTATTTTTCTCTCTTTTTCGATAACAATTGATTATTGTCCCCAAAATACCTATTAGCAATTTGCTATCTATATTCTGGCAAAAAACAGATATTTCATATTTCTGTTCATTAATGACCATTTTCTCCAAACTTTGTTATGAAGTTTTTTGGTTTTGCATTTCATTCTCACTAAATAATTCAGAAGTTCTGAATTGTTCTATTTGCCTATACTATTCTTGGCAATAACTGTGTGTTTCACTAATGTCAGGACTGGTAACCCACTGTTATTTTATTTTGCTTGTCTATTTCATTGAAAGAAGCATTCAATACATTTGCATAGATTGGAGATTCTTAACCTGGGGTCCATGAACTTTTTTTAATATTTCAATAACTGTATTTGAACATAATTGGTTTCTGTTGAAATTTTACATATTTTATTTATACACTTAAAACAGTGATCATAAAAATAACAATAGCTAGCATTTATATATCACTTTAAGGGTTACAAAGCCTTTGACATGTTTAATTCATTGATTGTTGACATGTTAGCTAATTTAAAATTATTCTGAGAAGCAGTCCTCAGACTGCCAAAAGGATCTATGGCCCAAAAAAGATTAAGATCTTCTGGCATGGATTGAAGAGAAGATGATCATAAGATTATTTTTTTGAATTTTCTCTATTATTAAAAGCTTCAAACTTCTCTCCCTATAACCCTTTATTTTTTTGCTCCCAGCCTTCCACTGATGAAAAAAGTATTTTATTGAGGATCATGTGCACAGAAGAATAGTCTGCCATTGCGCAGTAGATGTGAAAATATTGAATTGTTTTGTGATTTGCTTCCTTTATTCTAACAGCTGATTTTGGACTTTCTAAAATTGTGGAGGATCAAGTTACCATGAAGACTGTATGTGGAACACCAGGATACTGTGGTATGTCCTCTCTTACTGACTAGGGGCTTTTAAGAAAGGCACAGGGGAGAGAAAGAATTAAATCTAGAGGATGCAACATCACTTTCTCTCAGAGTTTCTCCATCTTACCTCTGAAGGAAAGGGCTTTACTGGAAGGAAGAAAGGCCAGTGTCTTAGATATCTTTTCTTCAAGATCAGTAGAGAAAATTCAAGGTGGAGAAAGTGATAGAAATGAGATGGTGGGAAAGTAAGCTTAGGCTAGCTATTCTGGCCGAAGGGGTATTATCACCATAAAATAAATATTGTCCTAGCCAAAGGTAGTCATCTTCTCTTTGGATTTCTGTTCCCACCAAGATTTTACTGCCAAGAAAATCTCCAAATATCCTAGAAACTAGCTTTCCATAAATGTGGGTAATAGAGCAGAAAATGAAGAAGATTCAGAGTAGCAAATAAATCTCTTAAAGTTTCTACTGGGGCAACATTCCAAATTCTAGTGAATTCCTAGCCCTTCCACAAGGTCCTACATAGTCCACTTGAGATTTACAAAGCCCCCTGGGTTTGGGGTCCCAGAAAGCACACACTTTCTAACTTCCAGTCAGGCAATCCCCATCACATCAGACCACCACTATTTAAAAATACTTACTGTAATAGTAGGGGACAGGAAGCAAAGTCCTGATCTCTTGTTCTTCCATGATGTGGCTATATATCTTACCTGTTGCTTTGGCTATAGGGACTTTGTGGACATTCCTCTTCTCTTTCCAGGAGGTGCGCTACTCAAGAAATATCCTTTCTCTTTCCCAGAAGTTTTGATCTTTGAAATCTCAGACTTAAGGTTACACTTGTGACAGTCTCTAGGGCTAGCACTGTCCAAAATATCCTCCTTCTTCTACTAGAAGACTAGATATCAGGATCAAACTGCTTGGAAATCAAATCTCTTTCATGAGCGATCCCACCTCCACATTCTCTACACAGGACACTGGCAATTTAGGAACGTTGTCCATGGAACTCCCTTCTTGGGCAATGTGAGTGAGCACATGTCTACATTTGTTACCTCAGTGCTGTTACACTGAGGTTCAAAATTCAACTTCACAAGTATAAGTTTGGAGAAACATAGTTAAATAACAATTTGAAAAAATTGATAGGGATAGTTGCAGAACACAAATTCAATATGAGTCAGCTGTATAATATATCAGTCAAAAAAGCAAATGAAATTTTGAGATCCATTAATAGGGTCTCATAGTTTCCAGTAATAAGGAAGTGACTGCCATTCTGTACTTTGCTTTGGTCAAAGTATGTCTGGAGTACCATGTTCACTTCTGAGAACTATATTTTAGGGAAAATATTGCTAAGCTACAGATGATCTTAAACAAGGCAAGAAGGATGGAGAAAAGCCTTGAATTTAGGTCATATGAATATTAGTGGAAGGAATTGGGGGTATTTTGTGTAAAGAAAAGAAGAGTTGAGGACACATTTTAACTTTCTTCAAGTATTTGAAGGTCTGTCACAAAATAGAGGCATCTGATTTGTTCTGCTTATTGTCAGAGGGCAGAAATAGGAGCAATAAGTACAAATTATAAAGTAGCAAATTTAGGTTTTATGTAAGGAAAAACTTCTTAAGAATTGGGGTATCTTGAAGTGGGAAGGATAGCCTTGAGAAGTGATGAGTTCCAAATAATTAGACATCTTCAAATAAACTCTGGATGATCACTTGTCTGATGCATTGTAGAGGGGATCCTCTTTAAGGTGTTTGTTAAGCTCTGATCACCTCTAGCTTTGAATTCTATGATTCTCTAGGAGTAAAAAATGCAGTTTGTTAAAATAGAAAAAATAGTCAACATTTTCCAATTTGGGGAAATTCTTTATGGAAAGTTTTGGAAAAATTAGAATTTTTAAAATGATGCCTTGTTTTGACTGGTGCGCTTGTTTCCACTGACATAAAAGCATCTATTTACCTTTAAATTCAATTTTTTTTTTCAGATCCACTTTCTATGCCACCTATCTCCCTCTTCCCCCTCCATGAAAAAAGAAAAAAAAACCCTGTTATAAACATGTAGAGTCAAGCAAAACAAATTCCTGCATTGATCATTTCATATATATACATATGTATATGTGTGTGTCTCAATCTGCACTCTGAGATCATCACCTCTCAGGAAGTAGGAAGCATGTTTAATTGTGAATCTTCTGGAATTGTGGTTGGTTACTTTATGGATCAGAATTCTTAAGCCTCTTAAAATTGTTTGTTTTTATAATATTGTTCTTACGGTATAAATTGTTTTCCTGACTCATTCATTTCACTCCATATCAGTTCATACAAGACTTCCCAGATTTCTCTGAAACCATACCCTTCATCATTTCTTACAGCAAAGTAGTATTCCATCACATTCATATATCATGGCTTGTTCAGTCATTCCCAGATTGATAGACAACCCTAACTTTCCAATTCTTTGCATACACACACACACACACACACACACACACACACACACACACACTGCATTATCATTTTTTTCTTTTCTTTTCTTTTCTTCTTCTTTTTTTTTTTTTTTTTGGCTAGGCAATGGGGTTAAGTGACTTGCCCAGAGTCACACACACTGTTATAAACTGTTGTACATATTTTTGTATATATGATTTCTTCCTCTTTCTTTTATCTCTTTGTGGTATAGACTTAGTAGTGGTGTCTCTGGGCCAAATCTTATGCATAGTTTAAAAGCTTTTTGGTCTTAGTTCCAAATCCTTTTACAAAATAGTTGAGCCTATTCACAGCTCCTCCAACAGCACATTAATGTACCTGTTTTCCCTTAGCCTGTCCAGCAATTGTCATTTTCCTTTTTTTTGTTCAACTTTGCCAATCTGATGGGTGTAAGGTAGTGCCTTAGAGTTCTTTAAATTTGTATTTTTAAAGAATAGCAGTGATTTAGACCATTTTTTCCCATAAGACTATTGATGGTTTGCAGTTCTCCTGAAAAATTATTTTATCATATCCTTTGATTACTTATCAATTGACATTCATTTCCAAATATATTCTTCTCCACTTCTTTCTCCAATGAACCATCTCTTGTAACAATGATTTTTTGGGGGGAGGCTAGGCAATGGGGTTAAGTGACTTGCCCAAGGTCACACAGCTAGTGAGTGTTTTGTGTCTGAGGCCGAATTTGAACTCGGGTCCTCCTGAGTCCAGGGCCGGTGCTTTATCCACTGTGCCACCTAGCTGCCCCTATAACAATGATTTTTAAAGTAGAAAAAAATTTCAGCAAAATTAATTGTAATAGAGGTGGAAAGTCTGAAGAGCCTGCTTCCAGGAGAGTTGTGATGATATAATGAGGTGGCTAGCTGGTGGAATAGATGCTGGATCTTAGGAAGTTAGGAAGTTAGGAAGACCAGAGTTCAGATCCTGACTCAGACACTACCTAGCTATTTGGGTAAGTCGTGTGACCTTTGTTAGATTCAGTTTTCTCATCTGTAGGGGGGGTAATAATAGCACTTACCTCAGAGGGAATCAAATGAGATAATATTTGTGGAGCACTTCGCAAACCTTAAAATACTTTATAAACACTAGACATGGAATGGAAGTGTCTTGGAGAGACTGTGGAGGCTGGGAATAGATCCTGTTCCTGGTTCTGGTCTGTTAACCACGTGAGTAAGAGAAGCCTTTATTCATTAATTTTTTTGTTTGTTTATCTGATTGGCTGCATTGTCAGAAACGGGAACATCTTCAAAAAGGTTTGAGTCTGCCTCGGCCTAGGTTCTTGGGCTATGTCTCTTTGGCTACTCTTTTGGTTGATCTTTTGGACTCCTTTGCAGACAACACTATAAAGGGAGAGGCCTTATACTCTCATCACGGAGGCTGTCAAGTGGTCCTGAGGTGGTTCTTCGCCTGCCTCAGACTTTACTCTTTCATTCAAAGTTAACGGAGCATAGCATTCATTCATAGCATAGCATTCACAGGGTTTTTGTAGCCATTTCAGCATTAATATGTTGAAGAGCAAGGAGTGACCCTCAGCACCTAGCCAAGGGTAGCAGAGATGAGAACTCCTCTGGCAGTCATATTACATCTGAATATGAACTTGGGGGGAACAATGAACTTTGCCAAAAGTGATCCCACTTTACCCCCTTAAAATCTAAGTGAGATAGGAGAAAGTATGGCCCTAAAATGTTCGGTAGAATTGTTTATATTTCTGTTCTTGCCATATCTTTGAAGTAAATATCCCTTTATAAAAGTTCATTTATATTAAGTGGTTAAATGAAACTGAGGTTCTAACAGTGACACCTACCAGTGGGAGAATCCAGATAGTAGGAGCAAACCACCCAAAACCTTGAAGCCTGAAAAGGAAATGTAGTATGCCTTGCTCTTAGAGAGTGAGAACAGAGTATAATGGTTATATAACAAATATATTGATCTCATCTGATAGTATATGAAATATTCCACACCCATAATCACCTCCCTCTTAAAATGAAGGGAGTGTGGTATCATGCTACCTTGCCACTGTCACCACTATAAGCTACCCCTGGGTCATGCTGGCTTCATTAGTAAGAGCTCACCATATCTATTCATCCCCATCTATCTGACCAGGTTTCACTACCATTTTCCTTCCATACCACTCTGCCATTACTTCTGCTGCCACTGCACCCTCCCATTCATATTTCCTGCATCTTGCCTTGGGGGAGTATGCTGTTCTGATTACCAATTATATTCCTCTGTGGCTCCATTCATCATTCACAGAATAAAATTCCCTGCCCTAACCACCATCCTTCTACACTATATGTAATTATTTTTCTCTAAAGTGTTGTCATTGTATAAATTGTTCTAGTTCAGGTCACTCCATTCTTCATAAGGTCAGAGAGATCGTTCTGGTTTCTTCTAAAATTGTGTATTTCATCATTTCTTATGGCACAATAGTATTCCATTATATTCACATTACAATTTGTTTAGCCATTCTCCAACAGATAGATAACCCCTTGGTTTCCAATTTTTGACTAGCATATAAAGAGCTGCTCTAAGTGTTTTTGCACATATAGGTCTC